TCAGGGCTGGGATTTTCCCCCAAAAGATGGTCGTCCCTGATTGGCTGGGACTCAAGCAGTGGTCCCTGATTGGCTTTGGACACAAGCTGTAGGACAGGACACAATTTTGGAACATTTGCAGTAGATTGCTTACTGCTTCTGAATCGGTTTGTTATCTTCAGCAAACCCTAGGTTTTGATTTTTTCTTGAAATTAACAACCACTTACAGAGATGCTGTGAGCCAGAATTTCTACAGACCGTCTTTAAAAAGTTCAGAATACCATTTCTGTGCACCCCAGTCCTTTCAGCTGTTTCTTAAGACTTTATTACTCCACTAGGGCTTTGAATAGTAGAAGTCTGTGAAATATCGGCCTCACCGTCTCTGGGGTTGGCACACACCCACTGTCATTGCTGGACTCTTGGCAGTGCCAAGGAAGCCTCAACTTGCTTTAATCTCAACCTGATGGTCTGTTTCAAAGGTCATTTGCTTTTTCCAAAGGAGTAACCATCAAACAAACGAATTTCCTTTAGTACATTTTTAGCCACTTACACCAAGACCAGTTGTCACAGAATAACTTGTGTTCCCATATCATGTCAAGAGGCGCTTAAATGTGCAGCCAGGAAGACGCAGCCCGAGGCTCACCTTGGCTCTTTACTCCAAGCTACCTCCTCAGTCTGGTTTTGGTTTAGAAACAACATAATACGTAATCCAAACAAGCTTGGTCAGGAGATCCAAATGACTGAAAAGCAAAACGAGCTTTAAAACTCCAGCCGACGACTTCAGAGTATAGCTCTCCTGGCAGAAGCCAGGGATTGAGGATGTCCCGTGGATGCGATGTCCTGGCTGTCCTTGGTTCTGTGTGGTTTGGGGCTCGAATGCACACTCTGAGTGAATATTCATCGTTACAAAGTAGAACACCACAGACAGGCTTCTTTTACCTTTTATTTAGTAACAATAGCTATTTCCAATAAGGTTGAAATAAGATTCTTAGTGTTTTCAATCAAAGTGTATGTCGCTTTCTTTTAGAATGCCCTTCTCTTCACTGAAGTAATTCCTAAACCATTCTATATGTTCAGTTTTCTGTTTCACACTCAGATCTGGGTTTTTGGAAAGGCCACAGGTCACTAGCTCCATGAAATGGCGAGTTGGTCCTTGTTTTGGAAAACCTTCCAGGTATTTATCCAGAAATATATGGTCATGAAATTCTGAGCCATCAGCATCAAAACTGGCTTGTTAATTGGGCAAGTCCACCGCTTCCCCTCTTTTGTCCAGTGGATCAGCTCTTCTAATCCATTCTGAAAAGACCGTTGACTTACTGCAACTAACTGCTGAGCCAATTCCATATCCCAAATCAAAGGTGATGCCTCTGTTTCAGGTTCCTCATCGGCAGCCTTACTATCAAAAATATTAAGTCTCTTTCCCTTGGATAACTTCTTCCTAAGACTTTTCCTAAGCTGGGCACTCTGCTGATAGTCAGAATAATTCTCAGGCTCTTCATCAAACTGAATCTGATGCTCTGGTCTTACGCTGGCTCTAGCTTTTCCAGATTTGCAATTTTCATATCCAATATGATGTTACTGAAACAGATCTACGTGCATATATTTATAGGTTTAGTATTAAGGCAGCAGATGGACATTGGGCCTCCACTCAAGCACTTACTCATTGCAAGAACACGTTGTTCTATTAAACTGGCATTCCAGGATGCACACCTTCTCTACATGATTGCTGAAGAAAAAGTGGGTGCATAAGCAAATATGGTGAAGAAAGCTGATGGTGCCCGGCTACCAAAAGATATAGCGTCTGGGGTCTAAAAGGCTTACAAATAAACAAGCAGCCATCTAGCTGAGAAGCATCAAAGCCCACATGGAAGAAGCACACCAGCCTGTCTGGCCACGAGGTGTTGAAGGGATCAGGTATCAAGCATCAAAGAACAACAAATCATATCATTGTAAAGGTGGGTGAGTGCAGAGTGGAGACTCAAAGCCCATCGGTAGGCAACTGGACATCCCCTTATTGAAGGGTTATGGGGAGGAGATGAGCCAGTCAGGGTGCAGGGTAACAATGCTTCCTGCCCCCCACCATCATGATCCCAATTCTACCTTACCACGCTGGCTGGGCCAGAGGATATACATTGGTACAGATAGCAACTGGAAGCAGAGGGAATCCAGGATGGATGACTCCTTCAGGACCAGTGGTGAGAGTGGTGATGCCTGAAGAGTGGAGGGAATATTGGGTAGAAAGGGGGAACCGATTACAAGAATCTACGTATGGCCGCCTCCCTGGGGGATGGACAGCGGGGGTGGGGGGGGGCATCCGACAGTGTAACTTATGACAAAACAATAATAATTTATGAATTACGAAGGGTTATGAGGGAGGGGAGAGAAGAGAGGGAGGGGGAAAATGAGCAGCTGATATTAAGGGCTAAAGTAGAATGACGAGGGCAACAAAAGTACATATGTGCTTGACACAATGGATGGATGGATGGATTGCGATAAGAATTGTACGAGCCCCCAATAAAATGATTTTTTTTTTAAAACCCAAAACACCAAACAAAAAAGAAATTCAGTAACTCATCTTTGACTTAGCCAGTCTGATGGCTAATGAGTCTTCATTCTCAAGGCCTGGGACCCAGCAGCCCGGCATGGACTAGAGAAGTATCAGGGGAGGGTAAGGGAGGAAGAGATCGTTTGGCCTATTCCGATCGCTTGTTGTTAGGTGCCCTTGAACCCATTCTGACTCATGAAGCCCGTGTACCCAACAGAATGAAATCCTGCCTCGCCTGCACCATCTTAAGTCATTAATTTGTCGGAGTCCACTCTTGCAGCCACGGTCGATCTACTTTCCCAAGCATAACATCCTTCTCCAGGGTCTGCTCCTTCCTGACAATATGCCCAAAGTGCATGAGATCAGTCTCACCAGTTCTTAAGGAGAGGAAAATGTTTTGTATTTTCCCTCAATGATTGACCCTAGGTCAAGCTAGCCCCAAGGGCATGTGAACCATGGAGTAGTTGCACACTGGCCTGAACTAAGAAGGACCCCAAACGAAAACACTCAAAACCTTTTGCTGATGAATCCTCACTGACTCAGGGCAACACCTGTGATTCGGAGCAGACCCTCATTCAGTAGGGTGTTCGATGGCCGTGGTCCTACAGAAGCAGCTCATCAGAAGAACAGCCTGAGGCTGGGTTTAATGCTCGGCTTCCCCGGTCTTGAAGGTCTTAAGGAGTTTTGAGCTTTGCTTCCGTTCTGGGCTCATCAGTTGATGGAGCAGGTCCTAAAGAAGCTGGCTTCTGCTCTCCTCTTGTTCTCAGTACTCAGTCTGGACCCACATCCAGTCTCAGTTCCAGACTGGCCTGCCCATCACCTAGTCCCCGGGAGCAGGAAACAGAGTATTCACCACGCAGTGACCAACCTGCGGTCATCTGTGGATTTCCTGGGCTAATTGTCATCTCAGAGTTGTTTTCTCCCATCACCCCCTAGACTTCCATGTGCTTTCAAGAAATGCCGAGGAATTTCAATAGTTGCCCAAGATGCACATGATTAAGAAGGTAAATCTGTTGCCAGGGGGGGAAAAAATCTTGCCATCCCAAAGCTTAATAAAGAAGGATTTTTCATTTGTAATTTTTGTACTCTTATTGACAATAAACCAGTAAACAGGTGCAAAATCAATTTGCATTTGGAATTTACGTTAGAATCTTTAGAACTCGTACAGAGCACCTGAGTACTTTTTTTTATAATGTCAGTTTCCGGTATAGAGTTTCTTCTTCTTCCTTTCATAACATGTTGACCCATATGGAGGACATTTAATTCAATATGTTTATTAAACATTTTTATTTTCACCACTTGCACACACTGCTGAAGACTTGGGACGGTGAAACGCCTGTCTTTGCAGATACGTTCATTTGCTTGCTTGCTTTTTCTATCGCTGTAGGAAAGCCTCCTGAAACCGCAGCCTTTTTCCAATGCCCGATTTAAAAGCCACTCACCTCGTGTTCTCAGCCTCTCCCCATTCATCTCCCCTACCTTGGAGGGAATGGTTTCCCTCGGCTGTACTTCACTGTGAGGATTCGTGCCTTCCCAAGGAATATGCAAATGAGCCATCTTATCTCTGATAACTACTGCCCATTTTACTGATGGCACTGTGTCACATCACACTCTGACCTCCTCATGAGAATCCATAAAAGGCATTTCTCTTTGTTCTCAATCAGAGCTGGCTATAATCAAGCGGAAATTGTCATAAACAGCTCTGGCTATTCTATGAGGGGGCAAAAAAATAAGGTTTAATTATGACAAGAAACCCTGATGATGAAATGGTTAAGTGCTTGGCTGTCAACTGAAAGGTCGACAGTTTGAACCCACTAACCACTCCGTGGGGGTGGGGAAGATGAAGATGAAGATGAGGCGGCTTCCATGAAGATGACAGCCCTTCATGTGCTGTCCCACAGGGTCGCTATGAATGGGAAGGGACTAGAGGGCAATGGGTTTGTGTTTTCTGTTGTATATGGTTGAAGGGAATACTCTGAGAAGCCAACTGAGGAGATGGTAAGAATTTCAAGTATCCATATGTTCAGCAAATGTCCCTCCCAACAGCTCAACTGGACTTAACTGTTGATGTTTTGTTTGCCGAAAGGGCCCTATAATTTTAGGGATGGAGGCAAATGGCCTGGGGTCGTGGACAAGAAGCCAAACCCTGCCAGCAACTCTCTTTGGGTACTTTTGCTTCACACAGTTCACCTGTAAACAAATGGAAGGTACATTTTAAAGACGGTCTGTTTAAAGGGATGCCGCAAATTAGTTTGCTCCCAGAGCAAGCTCCCAGAGAGTCAGGGGGCTCTTCGGGTGTCTTTGGTGAAGTAAGACAAGGGGAGAGAATGGATTATCGCATCATCTTCCTGCTGCTGTATAATATGTCCTGTATAATATGTCCGTGCTACAAACAGCAGTCAACTTGATTTCCATAGATCGCAGGTGCAAAGATCACTCAATACCATACTCAGAAAACTAGAGCAGCACCTTTATTTTATACATACAAATAGTATAAACGTCTATTATGTAAGAGCTGTGTTTTGTTTACAATATATTATATTGCTTCAAGCCAATGCAGAGTTCATACATTATAAGCCCTTATTTTATTGTGTTTACAATATATTATATTGTTTTAATGCCACTACTACAGTGTCTTTGTTTGCTTGCTTACTTTTGTTTTAATATCAAATTCTCTGGAATAATGGTAATGTCAAAATATATTGTTTTCAGAATTAAAATAGTAAGAACAATTTTTAAAAAACGCGAATATCTAAATACATGACATTAGGATTTGAGACGGTATAACTTCAGCACCGTTCACGGCTTCACCCAAACCCTTGCCACTTCTGCATTTTTGGCAAAATTTACTTTCTCTAATGTTCCCCAGCCCTGGGACACCACAAATGTATTGTGATTGTGAAAATTATCTGCCAACTACACACTGAAAAGGCAACATTTTAACCTGATCAACTGACAATATAAAATCAGTTCCAAAGCACTGAAACAAGAAAATCTATACCATCATGCTACAGATGTACTTAGAAAACTTAAAAGGAAGAGTAAATATCAGCTCAGTGATTTATAATGAAGCTAATAAAATTCAGGCCAGTATTCGTAACTGTAATGAACATTACTTGAACATTCAGCACATGAAAGGTTAGCAAAGGCCATGAACTTGGTGTAACTTAAAACGTTTCAGATGTCGAGTTCACCAGATATAATTGGATTCAGGTGGATCCTGGCGGTCCTCGGTCTTTTTAAGTGAAGGCGTGTGCTGCCTGAGCCGGGCGCTCACTGGCCTGAGGGAATGCACCAGGCTGGCTCCGTACCCTGCAAAATGATTCACAGCTCAAAAGAAAAGAAACTACAAAAACAGGCTCTCCTGTACCATCCCAATGAAACCCATTTTTCCGCTTCACCCCAGAAAGACCACAGTGGGCACAACAAGCTGCCTGAAGGAAGAGGCGTTACAGGTTCGAGAACTCTGCTGGGGGAGGAGAGCAGGGAGCAAAATGCTCCGAATTAACTCCATCGAGTCTACCTGCCACAGACTCTCTGACCTGCTAGCTACATCATGGCCATGCAGGAATTCATAAGGCCAAGTTTGAATGACTGTGAGGGAATGAGACTGCTGCGTGCGCAGGGACTGCTGGCGCTCGGGCCCCTGAGGTCTTGATTCCGGCGATGCTTCTGCAGAAGGTCGGATGGTAATTTCCTCTGCATTGCAAAACTAACCAAGAGGAAAAAAAAAAAAAAACTAACCAAGAGGGGAGGGGATTGACTCAACTCAACATGGCAAAGCCCACTCTTCTTGTAGATCCCACAAGCCAGCGTGGCTATTGCATGGAAACAAAATAGGAATTTGATAAGAATTCGGGGCTTTTAAGGTAAGGTGACCAGACATCCTGCTTTTGGCGGGACAGTCCCGATTTTTAACAATTTGTCCCGCGTCCCACGACGTTTTAAAAAAGTCCCGATTTTTGGAAAGAATCCACGACAAGCTAGGGTACACAGTTTTCAGCTGCCATGTGGCTATTTCGCCAGGATATGAATTTTATCAATGGTGTCCCGCTTTTGTCCCGCTTTACCAATGTTAAAATCTGGTCACCTTATTCTAAGGGGTCACTGTCAATGGGAGGTGGAAAGTGGGTTTGGTGGGTGTTGGTTATACTCGTTAAAAGAAAGAGTTATGATTGGAATCAACTCCTTGTCAATGTTGAAAGTAGGCATTCTAACTATTTCGAGCTAGTTATAGGTGGATTGTGACACTGAGTTATACAATTGAAGAGCCATCCAAGGCTTCCCTTCTTTTAACGTGTGAAGCTTTAAAGGTGAGAGGAAAGAAGTCTTAAAGGTTTTCCTGGTCGTGACTCAACCCTACCCATCCCCTAAAACGGATCCAGGACAGAAACTGTGTTTTAAAAGCCTGTCTCCATCTTCCTATGCTTGAGAGTCAAGGTTGGCATTTCATTTGTCCCATTGGGGTTTTTTAATGGAGGGACGCCATTAAACAAGCACTGCGAGCAGAATCCTTTGTTCCTGCCTGAAAGCATTTCTTTGAACTGTCAGCATGCAGGCTAGTAACTCAATGGAATGGGCAAAGTAGGAGCCATCCCTACCATGGCACTTTATATTTATACATGTATATTTACATATATAAAATGTTTAACAATCTACCTAGTATGTTATATTAAATGTACCTCATCCTTTCTAATTTCGAAATTGGGGGCTTATATTACATGGTTGGCATTATGTTACTCTGCTGGAGTAAATCCCTACCATGCTGCTTGCTCTGCCACCCATGCAGTACAAACCTCCCTGATGGCCAGGGTGACCCTAAGCAGCAGGTTGTCTCCAGCATCCTCTGCCCTACTAAGATGCCTGGGTGCCAGGGACCTCCCATCAGGTCACTCCACAGGGAGTCCGTTCTTAGCAGAACTCTGTGCCTCAGAATTCCCTTGTCATCTCCCTCTAGTCAAAACACACCCCATTCTTTCAGCTTCATTCTGTCTGTGAGTGTACATAATGGTCGACAGTCTCTCTCAGAAAACACAGTACTGGGGCATCTTCCAGATGCAATGCTTTGATCTGACAGGCGGATATTGGTGTCAAAAGATTCTAGCAGCATAATTCACAAATGGGGGCAGTATTTGTGAACTGGCTCACGGGTACATGAGGGTCTCCTATTTATTTCCATTTCGGAAGAGAAACCAATGTGCATCCGCATGGACATTACCCCTTGCTTGTCTCTTCACCACTCTTGGTACCCACCGGGTCCCAGATGTGGGTCCCGGGAGACTTCTTCAAATGTGCTCTGGGCTGTATGATCATATCTTGGGTCATCCCTGGGCCCAAGGACTTCTGGAAGATTAGACTGGCTAGGAGAAACCTGTATCCAGTTCAGGGTTCCATAAAGAGATCAGTTTATTATTTTCCAAAACAGCTCCCAAGAAGGCTAGTCTCCTAGGGATTATTTAATCTAAATAAGGTTTTCCCCCTGTGTCCTGGAGGGCTGCCATTCAACCATTATTCTCTGAGTAAAGAGTTATTTTTTCAGAGGTACTGTACTTTTATTAGGTTGTGCTCACCTGAAGCCAATTTTATTAACAATTCAGTCAGTTCAGTGGGGGCAGGGGGTAAGAAATAAATGGTTTAACAGAGCTAGGCCAACTACCAACTTATTTTAAAGTAGATAAATAAATACATACACACATACACAGGACAGTGCCTTAGAAAGTTCATGGAACAATTCCACTACCTTTTCATTCCATTTTTCATGAACTTTTTGACTCTCCCTTGTACATTTATTATATGCACTTGGAGTAACATAATGTCAACCATGTAATATAAGCTCCCAATTTAGAAATTAGAAAGGATGAGGTGTAAATGTATAAACATTTAATGTAATATACTATGTAGATTGTTAAATGTTTCTATATTTGTGTGTAAATATAATTTAAATGTATATGAAAATTAATTCCTCCTTTCAGGACCCCAGCTGGTTAAGGATCCCCTGGTGGCTCAATAGAAAAGCACTTCACTGCTAACTGATAGGCTGGTGACTCAAAACACCCAATGGCTTTGCTGGACAAAGACCTGTCATCTGCCAGCTTTGAAAAACCCCTGGGGCAGTCTCATGAGTCAGAATTGACTCAGGACACGTCAGCCAAACAACAACCCAAGGACTTGGGTCCATACTCAGTGGGATATACCACCCCATATACTACCATTGTTCTAGAATAGCATCTGACGGCAGTCGGTGATGGATCCTTAGCCGTTGGCGCCAGGCGAGGAGGAGTGAAAGGATGGGCTCCCCAGACTGGCTTCCACTCACTTTTATTGCAGTGTCGTCCGTGCCAGCCTTCTTGACACTGGCATTTGTCGGGTTCATGGCAGGTTCCGTGTGCTCCGCAGCCAGGCTCACAGACAGCTGGGACACAGCAGAGACAAAGCTTTATTTCCCAAGCTTTCCGTTCCAGAAGCACCCAGCCACTTGTCCTGTGGTTTACAATGCCCTCGTGTTGGCTTCATCCCCTGATTCTCTTTCCTTAATCTCCAGCTATAGGTCAGCTTTGGACTTTGGGGGGAAAGCTCGGAGTGCTCTGACACTGTTGATATTTCCCATTCACAAAAGACACTAGCAAAGTTTTGAAACGGGTAGGCAAGAGAAATTGATTTTCCTTAAGGAAAATAGAAGTTGGATTAAAATTTGGATTATAGGTGTGAGTGTGTGTGCATGGACTTCATTCAACTCTTTTTGGTCCACATCCCGGAAGCAGATGTGCTCATGAAGGGTGGACTGTGAAGCCTAGGCACTATGCCATAGCCCAGGAGTTATGTAATAAGAGACCACTGCTAGTCTAATTACCCCCTAACCAAGATTGATGATGTGTATGGAGTACTTACGCTTTGAACAGAGGTCTCCTTGGTAACCTTTGGAGCACTTGCATTTACTTTTACCAATGCATTTACCTCCATTCCGACAGGGCTGTGGGCATTTGCCTGAAGTCAGACAAGAGTACAAATCAGCAAGGGACACACTGTCTCTTCAAGAGGTGGTGACATTTTACAAGGGAGCCACAGGCTTTGAGAAAAGAAATGCTTTTAAAGAGCAGTTATTTCCATGCTACTATGGTTTTATATGAGCTTCCTCTTTGAAAACCAACCAACAAACAGGCTACTTATGATTTTAGATCTGTATCTTTTTAAAAATCATTTTATTGGGGGTTCATACAACTCTTATCACAATCCATATATATATCCATTGTGTCAAGCACATTTGTACATTTGTTGCCATCATCATTCTCAAAACATTTGCTTTCTACTTGAGTCCTTGGTATCAGCTCCTCATTTTCCCCCCTCCCTCACCGCTCCCCTCTCCTTCATGAACCCTTGATAATTTATAAATTATTATTTTGTCATATCTTACACTGTGTGACGTTTCCACCCACTTTTCCGTTGTCCATCCCCCAGGGAGGAGGTTATATGTAGATCCTTGTAATCGGTTCCCCCTATCTACACACCTTTGCTCCACCCTCCTGGTATCGCCACTCTCACCACTGGTCCTGAAGGGATCATCTGTCCTGGATTCCCTGTGTTTCCAGTTCCTACCTGTACCAGTGTACATCCTCTGGTCTAGCCAGATTTGTAAGGTAGAATTGGGATCATGATAGTGTGGGGCGTGGGCGGTAGGAAGCATTTAAGAACAAGAAGAAAGTTGTATGTTTCATCGTTGATACCCTGCACCCTGACTGGCTTGTCTCCTCCCCATGACCCAAATCAGAATCGTGTTTATATTACCTTTTAATAAACATGAGAATATGTTAACTGAGCTATATCTTTCTGGAAATGACTGACAGTTCCTGGTCCCTGCCAAGTCATCTTTTCCCGAGTTCTGAGTTTTCAATACCACCTTTCCGAAAACTAAGCCTTCAATTAACCCAAGCAACATCTGTCTTCACTGAGGAGACTCGGGAAAGCAGGGTTTGCTTGCGGATCTTGTATCTGAGGAAGCAATGCTGGGAACTCGGGTGGAGGGATGGGAAAGGTAAACCGGGAGTGTAGGAGAGCCCACACAGCGGTGCGTGGGAGCTGGGTCCTGTGCTGTGGGTGGGTGACGGGTTGATCTTGCTGGGTCGGTCCTTCACGGGGACTATGTGTAGACTGCGTCCTCGAGCTGTCTGACTGAGCAAAGGGACTTAGGGACGAAGGGACTTAAAGCAGTGGCTGTTGACTCAACTTAGCCTTGTGACCACCACACTTGTCTGCGTAGAACCGTATTTCACCGGGTTTTCAGTGATTGCTTTTTCCAAAGTAGATGGGCCACCAGAGCTTTCTTCTGAGACATTCCTGGGTGAACTTAAAACACCCTTTGTATAGCAGCTGGGCACTTGTGCACCAGCCAAAGACTTCTGAGGGGAGGGAGTACCTGTCTACTGTTGGTCAAGGGCATGCTTCCACACCGAGACTGGGGGTGGGGTGGGGGTGGGGGACAGCAGGTCCCAGAAAAGCCTCTGAGTGAGAGTGAAATAAGTGTGCAGCAGCTAAGAGGAGGTGCAGTTGGGTGTGGCTGTGTCAAACTGGAAGCTGTGGGAATGGCTGGAGCAAACGGTTGGCTGAGAAGGTATGAGGCAGAGTATATGCCAACACCACAGCGATGTGTTTTTCTGGGATGTCTTCGGTCCTGACAGTGCATTCTTCTTTTTCTTTGCACCAAATGAGTGTTGCTACTGTTTTCATGGTTCTTTGACTCTTAGATGTATTTTTTGTTTCTTACTCCAGAGTCTATTCATTCTAGCCTCTGTAGTCTACAATTTGCCATCCTGAAAGAGCTGTCAAGGCAAAAAGATATAGTACAGTTCATTCAGCCCTGAAGCCATGTTTTATCATTGGCTTACTACTACCAAGAGAGCAAGCAACCATTATATTTCAGTAGAAGACGACTTTGGATTTGTGGTTGGTTGGTTGGTTGGTTGGCATTGTTGTTATTTCTCTTGTTTTCACTTGGATAAAACTCATTACAAAGGCCTCTGGATCAACCTCAAACCACAAACCCACTGCCATTGAGTTCATTCTGACTCACAGCAACCGTATAGGACAGGGTAGAACTGCCCCGGTGGGTTTCTGAGACTGTAACAGGAGCAGAAAAAGCCTCAGCTTTCACCTGCAGAGCGGTGGTTGGTTTCAAACTGTGTGCCTTGAGGTTAGCACCCCAACTCCTCGCCCAGTAAACTGTGCGCTCCTTAGCACTATTCTTCAGTCTGTAGTGTGTTCACAATGTCCAGATGTAACTTTGCTTGATTTATGCAGAGGGCCATCTTTTGGGGTAAGAGGAGAAGTCATTTTAGCAAATGATTATCATTTAGGAGCCCTGGTGGCACGGTGTTTACGAGTTGGGCTGAAATCCACAGTCAGCAGTTCAAAACCATCAGCTACTCCATGGGAGAAAGAGCAGGCTCTCTACTCCCGTTAACAGTTTAGTCTTGGAACTACACTGCAGTTCCACACTGCCCTGTAGAGTCATAAGTCGGCATCAACTCAATGGCAATGAGTTTTGAGTGTTTTATTTTCATTTTGGAGTTTCCTTAATATTCGTCAAGCATAGTACTTGTCAATAAATATATATTAGTTTGCTTCTCTGAAGGCTTCATTTGGCCATAGGGGGGGGGCGGGGCTTAGAGAATGAAAGGTAGGTTGGTTTGGAATAAAGAGTTCATTCATTCTGCTTATGGCCTCTAGAAACAGAAGGTCTCTGATACAAAACATGCGGCTGGTCAGTCAACAACTTTGGAAGACCCCCATTCTAGATCTGCCAAAATTATATTTGTCAACAGATACATCTTCTAGATAAATTAATAGGAAATATATAAATCCCAAGGGCATACAAAGGCATCCTCGCAGGAAGAGAACTAAATAAAGATCCATTAATATGAACACATATAGGATGCAAAGTCTGAGACTAAGTATGGAGAGAGAGTTGACAGGTGGTAGGGTCATAGACATCTTCCATCATGGAAGACTTATTAATAAGAATAGAAACCACATCCTGGCAGTTATTTGAATGTTCTCTGGAGTCCTCAGAGGTATTTCATTTGAGCTCCATGAAATGTGGTTCCTTCCTCTACTACGCCCTCATGGAGGGTACCAGAACCACAAATAAATTAGAGGCTGGCAGTGAAAACGAAGTCAGAATTTTGGCTCCCCAGCTGTAGAAGTGATGGTTGTACCAAACACAGTGCAGATACCATGCAGCTGGAAATGAGGATACTGACCAAGTTTCCTCGGACACTTGTCAGGAAAGAGACAGAGAACACCTTCAGCAGATGGGTCACGTTCCTCTGCTCCATCCTTGGCAGGGCCCTGTGCTGGCTCCTTGGTCATAAACTAATCTTGGATTGGTTAGCTCATTTCGGAGTTCAGTAGGTTAACTGAGTTGCAGAGGTCACCTTGCTGGTAAATGGAAGAAGTCATTTGGGATACTGATTCCCCAAACATTGACTATTCACCATACTACACCCTTACATGTATATGATTTATTTTTTATTAACGAATGACATGCATATGTTGCTGTGTGCCTTTGAGTAAACCTGACTCCTAGTGACCCTACAGGACAAGTAGAACTGCCCCCAAGGCTGAAATCTTTCCCAGAACACATCACTAGGTCCTTTCTCCTGGAGAGCGGCTGGTGGGTTTGAACAGCTAACCTTTCGAGAGTGGCAGAGTGCTTAGCCATTGTACTACCAGGGCTCCTTTAACAGATGTAGCAAGAAGGCATAAAGTGTACTGATCTTACATTTACAAGCAATTTTTAACATTAATAAGCACTCATATATCCCTCTCCAATTGAAAAATAGAACCTTTCCCACAATCCATGAAGTCCCTTCATGTGAGGAACCACTGTTTTGATTTCTACTGTCAACCCTTAGTTTGATGTATACTTGAACTTCATGGAACTAAAATTCTGCAGTATGCACTCTATTTGTCGGGCTCCTTTTACTCAACAGGATGTCTGTGAGATTGAGTCATGGAGTTCTGTGTGTGTGCTGGAAGCGCACCCTTTGTTATTACAGTCAACACACTCCTTTCTTGGCGCTATCTTTTTTGCGTAGGTTGGTTCTTACACTCAGTCTGACCCAGACTATCTGGCAGTACCTGGTAGGTAGAAACCCCTCTAGGTCTGCAGGTAAGGGGACAAATCCCAACTATTCCAAAGCTCTGACCTCCAGTTCCAGATTTGAAACCATGGGCTTGAAATAATAAAGGAATACAAATCAAAAATGAGAAACAACACAACCTATGACATAATCCAAAGGCAGACATGACTGAGGCAGACAGCATCTAAGACAGCAGCTTTCAACCTGTGGGTCAAGACCCCTGTGGGAGTCAAAAGACCCTTTCACAGGGGTCACCCGATTCATCACAGTAGCAAAATGACACTTATGAAGTAGCAACAAAAACAATGTTCTGGTTGGGGGTCACCACCACAGGAGGACCTGTATGAAAGCATCGCGGCATTAGGAAGTTGAGAGCCACTGCTCTAAGGGGAGCTGGGTCATTCTTGCCTCGCCATCAGCCAACCTAAGTGGTTGCTGAACCGACGACGGCAAGCAAGCTACTTGTTTAACACCCAGCCAGCCTGTCGTGCTCCAGGGGCTTCACGCACGGGCAGTTCTCAAAGAGTTAGGTCACGTTTCTAGAAATCCTTGGGTGGCCCAAATGGCAAAGCATTCAACTAGTTAGCCCAAAGGTTGATGGTTCGAGTACACTCGGAGGCCGCACAAAAGACAGTTCTAGTGATCTGTTTCTAAAGAGCACGCTGAAGAACCCTAGGGAGGGATCGCAGGTTTCAGCATTCCCACCCCACCCCCCCATAAAGACCCCCCAAAACAATCAAGCAAAAAAGAAGCAGCCTACGGACACCAGTTCGCTGCAACACTTATGGGGCTTCCATAAGTTGTAATCCCCTTAACCACACAAGATGACCTTTCTAAGGTACCATGGAACCCCGCAAATCACAGTGTCTTGAAGAAAGGAGAATGCAGAAGGTCAATACTCACTTATTTCACACTGTTCTCCCTGTAGTCCCGGAGGGCAAATGCACTTTCCAGGGTAGAAACAAGTACCTCCATTAAAGCAGGTAGTGGAGCAGTTTGCTGTCAGAACAAAAAACAGTAGGTTAAATCTAACAAACACTTCACCTAAAATGAGATGGGACCTAGACATCTGATACTTGCCTACTTCCTTGGTTGTTTCACTGATACAACTGTGTGACCGTCTACAGACTCCAATAACATAGGGTTCTACAGACACTATATACTAACTACTCCTAAGGGTTTATATCTTAGTGAAAATAGTGCTTTCATATATTTTTATTTTTATTAATCACTTTATTGGGGGTTCATACAGCTCTTATCACAATCCATACATACACCCATTGTGTCAAGCACATTTATACATTTGTTGCCATCATTGTTTTCAAAACATTTTCTTTCTGCTTGAGCTCTTGGTATCAGCTCCTCATTTTTTCCCTCTCTCCCCCACCCTCCCTCATGAACCCTTGATAATTTATAAATTATTATTAATTATTATTATTTTTTCATGTCTTATACTGCCCGATGTCTCCCTTCACCCACTTTTCTGTTGTCCATCCCCCTGGGAGGGAGTTATATGTAGATCACTGTGATTGGTTCCCTCTTTCTCCCCCCACCTTCCCCTTCCCCTCCTGTTACTGCTATTCTCATTATTGGTCCTGAGGGGTTTATATGTCCTGGATTCTCTTGTTTTCAGCTCTGATCTGTTCCTGTGCACATGCTCTGGTCTAGCCAGATTTGTAAGGTAGAACTGGAGTCACGATAGTGGTGGGGAGGAAGCATTAAAGAACTAAAAGAAAGTTGTATGTTTCATCGGTGCTATACTGCACCCTGACTGGCTTGTCTCTGCTTTCATATATTTTTCAAAGTATCTGTGTGCTTAAAAGGAGAAGAATGTTGCAAATCTGGTAAAATATTTTTGTTTTCTTTAAAAACCAAAAAAATCAGAGTGTGGGATGAAAATCTAAACTGAGCCATCAAGTTGATTCCAGCTCAAAGAAGCCTGACCTAGGATTTCCACAGCTATAAGTCTTTATGGGAACAGATAGCCTCATCCTTCTCCTACAGAGAGGCTGATGAGTTTGAACTGATGGTCTTGTGGTTAGCAGTCCAACACTTATGCCACAGGGCCATCAGAGGTCCTGGGCAATAGAAGTAGAACAAAACGAAAAAGGAAAAAAAACCAACTTATTTTGGAATAGCTAAAAAAAGGAACTAAAAACCCACACTCACTGCCATTGAGTCAATGCTGACTCATAGCAACCCCCTGTGGGTTTCAGAAACTATAACTTTTTAAAAATCATTTTATTGGGGGCTCTTACAACTCTTATCGCAATCCATATATACGTCCATTGTGTCCAGCACGTTTGTACATTTGTTGCCATCATTATTCTCAAAATAGAAACTATAATGTTTTATAGGAGTAGAAAACCCAGTCTTTCTCCCACAGAGAAGCTGATGGTTTTGAACTACCAACCATGCAGATCACAGCCCAACACCAAAGCATTACACCAACAGGGTCCCTAGCTACAAAGGGAAAGAAGTCATAAATAACAGGATTTGACAAGAGAGAATAAGATAGACACCCCCCCCACCCCTGTCCCCTGGAATAGAGGTCATCCTATAAGAATTTTTTTTAATTCCTGACACAATCACTGAAGACAAAATGGGTGCCTAAGCAAATGTCATGAAGAAAGCTGATGGTGCTTGGCTATCAAAAGATATAGTGCCTGGGGTCTTAAAGGCTTATAATTAAGCAAGTGGCCATCCAGCAGGGAAACAACAAAGCCCACATGGAAGAAGCATGCCAGACTGTGTGATCATGAGGTGTCGATGGGAAAAATACATAACCAACTCAACGTGAAAGGGCATGGATGCAATGGAGACCCAAAACTCACCTGCAAGGTAATTGGACAGTCCCTCTCAGAAGCACATGGACAGGATGATAAATCCAGGGTGCAGTATGAACTGGTGAACCACATAATTATCTACTACTTCTTAGATATGACAAAATAATAATTTATAAATTATCAAGGGTTCATGAGGGAGGGGGGAACGGGAAGGGAGGGGAAAAAATGAGGACCTGATGCCAGGAGCTTAAGTGGAGAGCAAATGTTTTGAGAATGATGAGGGCAATGAATGTACAAATGCGCTTTACACAACTGATAATATGTATGGATTGTGATAAGAGTTGTATGAGCCCCTAATAAAACGATTAAAAAAATATTTCCTCCCCTCACTATTAAGGCTGTTATTTGTTTTACCTCGTTAATCATGTTAGATTTGCGTATGTTCATTTGCATATTTAAGATTGTTCAGTACATGAATGTCAAGATAGAGAACCCTTCAGCAACAGTAACAGAAGTAATGGTTCCTGAGGGGATAGGAAGAGAGGGGGAGTCGGGGGAGGGTTATGTGAACTGATAGCATTGATGATTACATAACTCCACTGGATGGGATTGAACAACAGAATTGTATGTGAATGGATATATTGAATTGTAAAAGATATGTCAATAAAACAATAATAATATTTTTTAAGACTTTAATGATGTTTCGAGAAAGAATTACTTCTTTCTTATGGCAGGATAGACCACAGAACCTCCTGAGAGAGTGGGCAAGCCTCAGTGTACAAACCAAAGTGCAAGCCCCAGTCATTGCCATCCAGTGGATTCTGACTCAGAGTGACTATGCAGGGCGGAGTGGGACTGCCTGGTCGGGCTCCCCAGTCTGTAAATATTCATGAAAACAGATTGTCACACCTTTGCCCCATGAAGCAGCTGGGGGTTCGAACCACCCATCTTTCAGTTAAGAGCCAAGTATTTAATCACTGGTGCCACCGAGGCTCCTGTATGAATCTGAGGGAGGCAGATTGCCCAGGTAGTAATCACACTGTTTTTGATTCATCCAAAACCTTTTCCTTCCTTCTCTTTCAATTTCTGGAATTTCACTGCTTGCTGTACATAAAACAGAGCGATCAGCGAAATGAAGCTCAGGAAAGAGCCAATATTTAAAAACAGAAAATCTAGCTCATTCTGGCAAAGGAGATTAAAACTAGAGCTTGGAGGTTCAGCAGCTCCGTTTATATGGCCTATTTGTTCTCATTCCATGTAAGACAGACAGACCTACATTGGCTACAGATGAACAAAAGCTAAATAAAACTTCTAGTAGGAAAATCAGAAAGGAAATCCAAAAATTATAAAGGTATGTTTTCTTTGTGGGAGGAAAAAAAAGCCTGACAAAAAGTTCTAGCAACGTCAAGCTTCTTAAGTGATAAACGTTGTGTTTAAAATCCTAAATATTGCCCTGATGAAGGTCACCCTGTGCTGGCTTTGGCAACATCAAGTCTGGATGTAAACGGAGCCAGCAGCATCGAGTGTAGGAGAGCCGGTTTTCTGGGCCTCCGCTTTGCTCTTGCTGCTGACAGTAGTAGTTGCTTTTGTAAGTGTGTCCTAGCTCCCTACTGTCCTTGACAGAAACAAAACACACAGCAGTACCTGTGCTTGCTTGCCCCGGGCTCTACCTACACTTTCTTTGACTCATGAGTAGAATGGAATTTGAACAAGTCCAGGAGAGTCAAAATGCGACCTTGAGTATGTACATCCCACCTGAATTTCAAGAACAGCTCAAGAATCTATTTGACTCATTGAACACTAATTACACAGGACCTGATGCGCTATAGGATGGCATCAAGAACAACATCCAGGAAGAAAGCAAAAGGCCATTAAAATTTTTTTTTAAAGAAAAAAGTAGATATCAGAAGAGACTCTGAAGCTTGCTCTTGATGATAGAGTAGCCAAAGCAAATGGAAAGAAGAATGAAGTAAAATAACTGAACAAAATTTTCCAAAGGGCAGTTCAAGAAGACAAAGTAAAGTATTATAATAAGGTATGCAAAGATTTGCAGAGAGAAAATAAAAAATGAAAACATGCTCAGGATATAACACGCAGAAAGAACCACAGTAGTAAAGAAATCAAATGACATATTGCACTGGGTAAATCTGCTTCACAAGATCTTTTTAATGAACTGAAGAACAGGGATATCGCTTTGAGGACCAAGGTGCGCATGACCATGGCATTTTCAATTGTCTTATATGTGAAGGTTGGACAATGATTAAGGAAGTCTGAAGCCGAACTGATGCCTTCAAATTATGGTGTTGGTGAAGGATATTAAAGGTATTATGAACTGCTGGAAGAACAAAGTAATCTATCTCGAAAGAAGTGCAGATAGAATGCTCCTTCTGAAAAGACGGCCAACTTCCTCTCACATACTTTGGAAATAGTGTCAGGAGAGACGAGTCCATGTTGGAGGACATTGTGCTTGGTAGCGAGTGAGAGAGAAAAGGCAGACTCTCCAGGCGGATTCATTGACACAGTGACTGTGACGGGTTAAAACTCAGTTGCTCACAACTGTTGTGATGTGGCTGGCAAGGCTGGGCAGTGTTTCATTCTGAGGGACATTGGGTCGCTATGAGTTGGGACAGACTTGATGGCACCTGAGAGCAGTAACATGTCTTCTAACACGTAGTACTGAGCTCAAACTCCCTCCCGGCAATAAAACTCTATTTTTCAGAGGGTCCACACGCCTCCGGGATAATAAAGGCATCCTTTGGTTGAGCTAGTGAAGAACGTTATTTTTTAAATAGCCTCAGATCTCCAGTGAGACCAAGTGGAATTTCAACAAACTTTCTGAAAGAAGTAGAATAATAAATGACTGAATAAAAAAAGTAGGAATATTATCTAAAAGGCAAAGTATTTCAAAATGTTGCAAGTACTAGAATAAATATAGGTGTATCCCTTCAATAAGTACTGTACAGTGTTTGTGATACCATATCATGAAGAAAAACCCCAATGGACATTCTGTTGTGCAAACCACACTGATCATGACCACCTTACACCCACAGGCCCCTTGGGTGGTCTCTGTCAGCCAGTGTATACAGGAGCTCTGTATATCGACATCTCTGAAGGTTTCATTCTATAGTATATTTCAGAGGTTATATGGGTTAAATTCTGCTTTCCTGAATTCCTAATTTTCAAAAAAATTTAATTAAATACAAAGACATTTCATAATAAGGCATTCGGGCACTGGCTGTTAATCATTATTAGTGTTGTTAGTGCTTCATCTTTATAAATATAACTATAACTGTAACACTATGGGGCTTTGTTCTTGTTTTTTAATACTATGGGGTTTTTTGTTTGTTTTTTAAAATTATTTTATTGGGGGCTCCTACAACTCTTATCACAGTCTATACATCCATCCATTGTGTCAAGCACATTTGTACATTTGTTGCTATTATCATTTTTGAAACATTTTCTTTCTACTTGAGCCCTTGGTATCAGCTCCTCATTTTTCCCCTTCCCTCTCCCAACCTCTCTTCCTCACAAACCCTTGATAATTTATTAATGTTTTTTCATGTCTCACACTGACCATTGTCTCCCTTCACCCACTTTTCGATTGTCCGTCCCCCTGGGAGGGGTTATATGTAGATCATTGTGGTCGGTTCCCCCTTTCTCACCCACACTATGGGTTTTAAAAGAATTTTTTTTTATGTTTATGAAGTATAGAGATGCTTTCACATATTATCTCAATTAACTAATTGAACTCAACTAGCTTAATTCCAAGTTTAGAGATGGGCAAAGCATGGCCCAAACCAATATGCTGCCATCCAATCCAGGCTGACTCACAGTGACCCTATGGGGTAGAACTGCCCCTCTGAGTTTCTGAGACTGTAACTTTTTATTTTATTTTTTATAATATGCTGTGCTTCACTTTATTTCTTCTTGAAGAAGCAGCACTGTTTTTTGTCTTTGGTTTGTTTCTTTCCACCACAAATTGAATGTTTGTGATAACTCTACATCAGGCGAGTCTATTGGCACCACCTTTCCAATGCCATTTATTTCCAGGACATGCTCCTGTTGTGTCTGTGTGTTGACACCACCACCATTAAGCAAAGATCACAAATGTACTTTGATTTTCCAATCCTGATAGTACTAATGTTTACTTTACACTAAAGTCTATTAATTGTACAATAGCATAATGGAAAATTTCGAGACTGTAACTCTGTATGGGAATAAAAAGCCCATGTTTCTCGCGAGGAGTGGCTACTGGTTTTGAACTGCTTGCCTTGCAATTAGCAGCCGAATGCATAACCACTGTGCCACCAGGGCTCAAGGGAGATCAACTTGTGGGAGGCCTTAGTTATTGTAGCAGTCAGTTTTACTCTAAGTGATACGCCTAATTTTTAGCGCTATTATGAAGAGTGATGGTATATTCAACTTACTTTAATAAAAAATTTTAAAACAAAGAAGGAAGCAAAAAGGAAGGGAGGGAGTTAAAAATAGAGAGGGAAAGGAAGGAAAGAAAGATGGACTGAAAGGAGAAGGAGGGGGTTACCTTTATCACAATTGACTCCATAGAATCCAGGTGGGCAGATGCAGAAACCAGGAGTCACACAAAGCCCTCCGTTCATGCATCGTGGCGTGCAAAGGGCTAACAAGGAGAGAAAACCCCGATTTAGGCCAAACTGCATTTGAATTGGGACCATGTTAGAAATGTCAACAATACAACGAGTCTATACTTTCAAGCCTTCTCGTTGACTCTCAAATGGTCTCTGACTTTGAATCCAAGTTTCCTATGTTAAATTGGACTCTATTTTAAACTACATCTCAGCCAGTCACATACAAGAGAATGTTTTCATTATTCCATTTGTATACCTGATTAACTTTTGTCAGAGTCATGATGTTAATGAAGATACTGGCTCCCAAAATGGTACGTATGTCCTCTCTGCCTTTTACGTCCTGGGTCTTCCAATTCCAAAATAAAGGCAAATAAGAAAAGATTCTTATTTCTTTTCGATGAAAAATATTTTCCATTCTCTGGTCAAATAATCTTTTGTGTGTAAGAATCTGGTGAGTAATGCTCACCTTCTTGTTTCTCTCTTTTTTCTTTTTCATAGAATTCACTTAAAAGTCATTTTCCTGAAATGGATATACTTATTATACAAATTATCTTCACCCGTCTCTTTGCTGCATAACTTCATAACTCTGTTTAAATTTAATAAGTGTGGATCAAACTGCTTTCTATTAGAAAAGAACATTTCAAACCACTGCAAATTCTGGCCTTTTAAAAGTTAAGTTTCAAGGTGTAAGAGTTCTAGCTCCAGTTTAAGGGAGGCATAAATCCTCCAAACTTTAATGAGATTATGCCTAAGTACAGTGTGTGTGCTGGTCGACCCTGTGACTAGAGAACAGATTCTACAGCGCAGTTCTCTACCTGGTCACTGCAGCTCCAATTGAACAGAAACCCATTTCCAAGCATTGAAAAATGTTCACTGCATCATGTTAATGGGACCAGAAATTTAATTTCAGGGATGTGCTTAATTACACGCGTGGGCTCTGTTGACGAAGCACCTGTGCCAATCCCACGCTTATTAGGAATGAACCAGGGAAGGCCAGATGGGCATACTTTACCTTTCTCGCAGTGAGGCCCGTAGAATCCATCAGGACACGCGCAGATGCGTCCCTCGTTACACAAACCGCCATTCCGGCACCCTCCGGGGCACTCGGCTTCAACAAGGAGAAGCAAGTCTCAGGAGGATGTTCTTTGGGTCACATTAGACAAGTTACAGCCAATGTGAGGAAGTCCTTCTGTCTCCAGTGGCACGGCTTACTTAACACAAACACACTTACCTTTCTCTGTCGAACAATCGCTTCATTCTCTCAATAGGACCTTTCCCTTTGAGGACTAAGGTGCATCTGACCCTGGGCATTTTCAGTCACCCCGCAGGCCTGCGGGATCTGGCCAGTGAGGAAGGAAAACTGAAGGGGGGTCGATGCTCTGGGGTGACGGCGGGGCTGGTGGAATGACTGGACCTGCCGTGGCGTGGCAGGAGATGGAGCACCGGTCCTGGAGAAGTATAGTCATCATGCTCCTTGACACAAGGAGAGCACGCGTTCGTGTCACTGCGGACACGTCACTTTAGACATGGTATCGGAGAGAAGCAGTCCCGGCAGAAGAACGGCAGGCTGGCTAATGAACAGAGGCCACCCAAAATTACAACTTCCTCCGTGCTACTGCGGGTAACCATCGTGGCTGCAGTGGGCACCAATGGGCTCCATGGTGGCATAAGACAAAGGAGCCTTGGTGGTGAGTGGTTAAGTGCGTGGCTGCCAACCTAAAGGTCTGTAAGAGAAAGCGGGTTTCCATAAAGATTTGTAGCCTTGAAAACACCACGAGACAGTTCTACGCCGTCCTACAGAGTCAGGGCAAGTGGGAATGGACTTGTTTGGGTTTGTAAGCCACTTGTTAGGGGCCACTGAGTCAGTTCTGGCTCCTAGGGGCCCTGTGGACAACACAAGGAGACACTGCCCAGGCCTGTGCCAGCCTCACAATTGTTGTTATGTCCGAGCCCATTGTTGCAGCCACTGTGACAATCCATCTTGTTGAGGGTCTTTCTCTTTTACGCTGTCCCCTTTCCTGGGACTAGCCTCTCCTGACAACCTATCCAAAGTGCATGCCGAGAGCATTCTGGCCGTACTTCTTCAAAGACCAATTGGCCTATTCTTTTGGCAGTCCATAAAACGCAAAACTCAGCTGCCCTGAGTCATTGCTGACTCATAGCAATCCCCAGTGAGTTTTCCGAGACTGTAACTCTTAACAGGAGTAGAAAACCCAGTCTTTCTCCCACCGAGGTGCTCGTGGTTTTGAACTGCTGAGCATGTGGATTGCAGCCCAATGCATAACCACTTCACCACCCGGGCTCCTCTTGGTAGTCTATGGTACTTTCAATATTCTTCGCCAGCACCATAACTCAAATGTATACAGCCAAGAGTCACACTACAGGAGCCCAAAAGCCCCTGATAAAGTGAAGTGGGTGGTTCCCAGCAATATCCAGACTAATGTCCATGCAAAAATTCCCTGCTAACTACATGTTTAAGGCTAGGTCCAGTAGGACATGGTTAACTTTCCTTAGTTAATGTCCAACTTTCACATGTATATGAGGTGATTCAAAAGACCACAGTCAACTGCACCTTAGTCCTCAAAGTAACATCGTTGCTTTTCAACACTTTAAAGAGGTCGCTAGGGCAGCTTTACCCACTGCAGTGCGTCATTTGATCTCTTGACTGCTGCCTCCGTGAGCAATGATTGTGGATCCAAGGAAGAGGAAACCTTGATACTTGTACGCCATTAAATGTTAAAAGTAAGATGTTTGCCTCCTTCTGTCCTTCTTCAAGGATAAGGGGCTTATTTAAGAAGGATTTATTCTGCTTTTAGCCCAAATGATCATTTCTGGCGCTCCTTCGATTCACCTTGTGATTGAATGAAAGATACTGTCATTCGTGTTCCTTTTCAGAGGGCACGGTAAGTCTCTGCATGTCTCTGGAGCACTGGAAGGCTCCAGAGCTTCATTTCTGTGCTAGGGAGGCTTGTAGGGGGATGGGAAAGGAGCCAGGTCTTCATGTTTAAGTGGCATCTGAGGTCTGGTGATGAGGTGCTGATGCTACTGCCCAGCAGGATCACTGGCATGATGATGTCATCCTGACTCTGGTGGAAGTCAGCAGCATCAAGCACTTGGCAGTTGATATAGACTTTTCCCTTTTGGCAGGTGACAGTTGCTGGTAATGATTGGTAATCTCGACCCAAGGAACCAGTGCAAGAAAAGGGGAGAAACCTAACGATAAGATTTTCAGGTAAGATACCCCTGAAAACCCCCAAAATGGTGTTGGGGGGCGATGTAGGAGAGAGCAAGGAGAGAGACCAATGAGAAGGGGTATTAGAATTCCCAATGTCGCAAGTGGAGGCCAAGTTGCAAAAGACTTTGGTAAGACTACTCTTACCAAACCGTGTGCTCAGCACTTCCTCCTTCCATGGGTGCAGCTACAAGTATATATCAACACACACGTGACTATAAACCATGTGACATATATAGATATCCACCACAGTAAGAGAAAGAACTAAGCAGAAACATCTGCGGCTGGTGGTGCAGTCTGTAAGAAGCTCTCGAGAACTGAAGTGGACCACTCTAGTGGGCAGCCGAGAGTGGAGCCTCGGTCCCTCACCTTCTGCGCTTCTGGTGTTCACACCCAGGCTACAGTCCTCTGGCCCTTGCTGTTTATTCATTTATGACAAAAGTGTGACGATGTCTCTCGTGTGGAGCACAGGTCTCGGTGAGCGGTACATAAGGATACAACCTCTGGCCTCACAAGAGAGCTCACCAGAAGCTCCCCGAGAGGAGGCAAATATTAATTGAATAAATATGTATAAATATTCATCTTAGGTGAATTGCAGCCAGTGTGGATTAGAGACCCACTTACACAGCTCCAGGTTTACCGAATAGATTTTTTTTTATATTGGTTGTTTTCTGATGCTGTACAGAGTTAACAAGGTTTCATTGGTATATTTTCTTTGTAGGATAAGTTATTTCTAAAAGCTTCTAGAAAAGCTCATCCATTAACACTATGTGGTGTACCCGAGACCAGGGACAACCCTTCTCTATGATTTAGAGATTCTACTTTCCATCTCCTTGTGCTTAGCAGATGGTGCAAAGGGCTCTGGTTTAGTGTCTCCCCTATTTCCTGGAAAGATCGCACCTTCGCAGATGTAAGTCTGGATGGGGGGAAATAAAAGCCAGTCTTCCTCTTTTTAAACTAGACTTCAACACCCTGTTTGAGCGCTTCTCATCTCAATATTCTTGGTGAGATTTGTGCTTATTATCATAATATTGAACTATAAGCTCTGAGCTAGACGCAGGCATCCTCCGAATTCCTCTCTCTAAAAGACAGAGAAACGACTATCGAATGGGCCTTGTCTAGGGTCTTGTTTCATACTCTATTTTATGCCTATGCATCTGAGAAACAGATCCTTCTAGTTCTATAGCACAGAGATCAGACTTGCACTTGGATCAGGCTTTCAGGGGAGGCTGAGAACTACCGTCATGCCTGAGCACATATACTGCATCCTACTCTACAGCCAAGAGTCACACTGTAGGAGCCCAAAAGTCCTGATAAAGTGAGGTGGGTGGTTCCCAACAATATCCAGACTAATGTCCACACAAAAATTCCCCACTAACTACATGTTTAAGGATAGGTCAGGGAGGACATGGTTAACTTTCCATAAGATCAGCTAGGATCTTCACTCAGATTTATCATCTGCCATTTTGTGGCTACTGGTAAGGATCTTGGAGTCTGAAAATGTGCATCTCTCTCTGTCCTGGGGAATATTACTGATCTCCCAACTGTTTCCTGATTGCTTTAGCTATCTTTGAAGTTAGTTAAACCTCACCCTGAAAAGTCCCTGGGTGGTACACATAGTTCACATACTTTTGGTGGCTAACCAAAGGGTTGGAGGATCAGGTCCACCCAGAGGAACCTCAAAAGAAGGGTCTGTCCATTTACTAGCCCCTCACCCCACCCCCCTCCCTGAAAAACAACAAAACAAAACAAAACAAAACATCTCAACCACTGAAAACCCTCTGGAGCAAAGTTCTACTCTGACTCTTTGATCATTGGTTACTGGGAGATACAGCCTAGAAGTCCCTGTATTTGGCCTTTCCATTTGTTTGATTCTACTATTAACATTTGCCAACCAGAGTGATCATGCGGGCAGCTAGTGACTCTGGCCATGGGACTTCCTTTAGTTACCCTCATAATGTCCCATGCCTTCATGAATCATGTGACACAATCTCAAGCATGTTTAAGTCTCTGGGAGCTTGGAGGTTTCCAATCTTAGTTCATGTCTGTCTTTTTGAAAGAGGAGAAGGAGAAATGGAGATAGGGGGGATAGTTGTTTGGTTATATTTATTTACTTTATCGGCTAGAGATTCAAAATTTAAATCCTTTACAAAATAGTACTATCTGTACTATTTTTAATGAGTCAGATGAAGACCCCTGGTGCCATGGGCTAACTACAAGGGGCGGAGTTCAAAACCAACAGCTAACTGCAAGGTGCGCAGTTCAAAACCAACAGCAGCTCCAGGGGAGAGAGACCTGGTTTTCTACTCTCATAAAGAGTTACAATCTTGGAAACTCACAGGGTCCATTCTACACTGTCCTGTTTGTACGGTTGCCATGAGTCGGCATCAACTCGATGGCAATGAATTTTTGGAATGAGTCAGAACCTATTAAAGGATCTCTAAACCCATATGATTATTTTTATTGGATGATGAAAAACAGTATAGTTTAATAGCCTCCAAAATCAAATTCACTGCCATTGAGTTGATGCCTTCATAGTAACCTTGCAGGCTAGGGTAGAACTGCCCCCGTGGGTTTCCAAGACTCTTACACTTTACCCTAGTAGAAAGCCCTGTCTTGAGGTGCAGCTAGTGGTTTCAAACTGCTGGCTTTGCAGTTAGCAGCCCGACGCTATGCCACTGTGTTACTTTGCCATGCACACACTCTGCCACCTGGGATCCTTAGGTCTAATAGCCTAGGTCCTACATGTCCGATTGACATGGTTCAAATCGCAGCTCCCCCACTTACTAGCTGTATGAACTTTGACAGGATCTTTTACCTCCTCTGTAAAGTGCCATTGTGAATACTGTGTAATTCAGGGGATTGGTGAGGGGAAATGAGAGAATGCACGTAAAGAATGTTTGGTGGTGTCTAGCTAACTCAAAGTAGTGCTCAATTACTGTTAACTATTACTAAAGTCAGCAAAACTCGGAGATATGACTGGGGAACACAACATTTCCTTTCATGAAAGTTGATGGAAACAACTGGCTATTATTAAATAAAGATGATTGATTGCTTACAATGCGCCAGTCACTGTTTCAGACGAAAGTTAGCTATGGAACTCTACGTAAGACGGATAGGAGGAGGCCGTTCCTTTTCATTGACTTGATTTCATAGGTCACAGATAACTTACAAATAAAAGTTACGGGCAAAGTAAGTAGCAGGTGAGCATAGTTGCCCAAGTTACCTGAAACACAGACCCAATATGTGACCTGATAGTAGCAAAGTTCACCTTTGCCCCAATTACACCTGAGTGGGGGTGGGGGGCTCCTCCTCCCGCGAGCTTTCTCTTGGCTCCTGTCAGGGATTTACCTTGTTGGCAGGTTTTAAAGAAGATCGCATTCTGAGGTGTTTGGAGAATGGTGTCGCCTTCAGAGTTCATCACAGTGACAGTCACTTCGAATGCTGCCACTCCGTCCTGTTTTCCAAGACACGGGAAACCCACTTGAACAACTAATTGAAAAACAGAGAACATATTCAGAGTTAATGGATCGATCTGATTCCAGTTGTATAGCAAGTTGACAAAGAGAGCGAAAGAACAAAGAAAAAAGGTTCCTATTTCATGATCTGATCTGCTTTTTACCTCCATTGAAATAGGGGGCCGCATTCTCATGACCCAGGCCTCCTCCACTAAACCTCACACATTACCCCAGGTGGAAAAAGAACGGATAACCCTCATCCATTTGCAACCCACTCATCAGGAATTAAGGAGTCTGCGGGGTGTTGGCCTCCCAAGGGAAGAACGATGAAGTTGTGTGCTTGGGTAACGATTTCTAGTCTCAGCAACTCTATGGAGCAGTGTGATTTGGCCCCGGATGGAGCCGTAAGGGCCCGGGGAGTGCCAATGCAGACACCACCACTTTACCCCGCTAGAGTACAAACATTTTAATTGGCTGGCGTTGCTGGGTCAATTTTGGTTTTCCTCAAAGGGGGCTGGGAGGCCAAATGAGGTTGGGAACCTGTGCCGCAAAAGGGGTCCTTGGCTGGTGTCCACTTCACGGCGGTGTGTTCGGAGTTTTTGGTGGACCCGCAGTTAGGTACTTGACTGCTGATTTACCGGTCCAGCTGACTTGTGGCTTCCACAGGGAGAAAGGGCTGGCGAGCTCCTCCCTTGGAGCACAGCCTCGGGCTCTGCTGACCGTCTCAAGGTCATGCGGCCAGCCAAGCGCCCTTCCTGGCCCGCTTCAGGGAGCGGGTCGGCTACAGGGAAGGGCCCGCTGTGGACACCGAGAGATTCCAGCCTCCGCTCCCGGAGGAAGATGGCGACCACAGCGACAAAGAAGACGACCACTCCAAGTCGTGGGTTTGCAAAAAGGAGATCTGCCAGCGGAAGAGGTCATGAAACGGAAAGCAGAGATTAAGGCCGCCAACGCGGAGAAGAACCCGCGCCGGCCGACGAGGAATCACCGTGTGCCGGACACCGGGCAAGCGTTCCTCGGGGGTAAAATACTCGGGTTTGGCAGCAAGCTCCAAAGAGAAGGCGAGGAATGACGATGAAATGAATACGCAGGGCGCAGTTACAAAGAGCTCACAAAAGCAAATCAGAAATAGTAGCCTCCTTGCGTTTGACAACGCTGATGAGGATGAATAATTGTACATATTGGGGGACTTAGTTGATGGGATATTTTTAAAATAACATTTTGTCTTTATAAAAGTCAGTCAAGTTCATTATAGAAAATATGGGAGAAAATTAATAAAACAATTCGTCCATCAATGCTCAGAAGCAAAATGCCAACCACAAAAACATTAACTAGTGATATTTCATTATTTCTTTTTTTTTCTAGGGCACAATATAGTTTAATGTTTGATATTTTACAGATTGTTTTCTGAAGGGCTTATCACAGAAAAAAATTTTAATCATTTTATTAGGGGCTCTTACAGCTCTTATCACAATCCATACACACATCCGTTGTGTAAAGCGCATTTGAACATTATTTCGTGTGTGGGGATGTGGATATAAATTATGGTTTTTAAAGCGCACACACACA